CAGGAAACTTAAGATACATCATCATATACCTAATTCATTGCGCTGTGCCAAATTTCGTGCAAATCGAAAGATATATAGGGACTTTGGTGCACCATTTACAATAAATCGGACGAAAATATATATGGGAGGTATATCTAAATCTGAACCGATTTTTCCCAGTAGGGTTCGTCCTTGGGTCAAATAATAATAAATGCGACCTGTACTTTGTTCACAAAAATAGATGGACGGACGGACATACGTAAATCAACTCAGAAAGTGATTTTATGCATATTCCCAAAAGGAGCCATGTGTCTTCTCGTTTCCTTTTGCCTGTTACAAACATATGCACAAAGACATAATACCCTATACCACAGGGTGAACTTTGTATATTTTTCAAATTATTGGCATATATTGTATTCTTTCTTGGACGAAATTTTTTTACAAGGCAACTGCTATGCTAAGTTATATTCACATCGGTGGGGAAATGCGCCCAAATCTTCCAAATACCGAAAAATTTGCGGGTTCTTCTTTATATTGAAGAAGGTCAAAATGTTATTCTGACCAAAATATATATATAATTAATGACGTCTCCGATGAATATCTCTTCCATTCCACCATACGGTGGATGGTATAACATATTAGCAGGACACAACACATCCCTGATCTGTAAAAAAATTCAATTACAAAATTTTGAATGACTTCTCCAACCTAGGGTTCCATGTCCCAGACCCAATGTGATCTGTATCGTACAAATTAAAGACTTTGTGGCTACGTTTTTATTTGTTCCATACTAAGTACACTCTTTTTAATATTATTGGAAAATTTCATATAAATAGCAATAGTAAATATATTTTTGTCGTCCCCTATATAATATAATTTATTGAAAGCGTTTCTATATCCCCCATATTTTTGTGTTTACATTTTCAAAAAATTTTTCTACATTTAATTTTCATCAACTATTTATCTTGTAAAATCACCACATTTGAAACATTTACAATCGGTTGGCTCCCGCAAACGAATATCCATAGTTGCCATTTCCGGAGAATTTAAACGGGTACCATCTGGATCATAACAATGGGAAAGGGTGATGATTTTCTCTTTCAGGAAACTTTCACGACAGCAATAGCATTCCTGGGAACAATATTTAAAATTTAGTCAAATAATTGGCAATTACTTTCCTCCAAACTTACCTTCAAAAACCCCGTTGGTGTAATAACCGATGGCTGCACCTGACTGTTACACAATCCTTCACATTTATTCACAATCACATCGGCATTACATGTCCTTTGCATCCTGCCCAATTCATCGAATTCCTCCTTGATCAAATGGATTTCCGATTTAATGGTTTCACAATTTTCATCTCCAGTTCCTTGGGAATAGCGCAGGGCATTGGTGAGATTTTCGGTAAGTAGTAGCACATAAATGAATAAACATTGCAAAGATAATTTCCACAATTTTAACATATCCTTGCTAGACGAAAAGTATGAACTGAATTGGACTCTGCAATACTTCTACAACCGAAAAATTGTGATGCTTGCTCACTGAAGACTAAACTGCGTACTACTCCATTCTGGCATCGTGAGATTGGCTTTTATACCACATTCGCATGTTGTGCAGCTCCCAAAGGATTCATAATCCTTGCTTGTGTTAAAAAAACAGCAAGGCAAATATCTTTCATTTATATTTATGATTCTATTGATTGAATGTCTGTGTTTTTAGCACAGCAGGCTTAATGAGCTCCTTTTAACAAAACAATTACCATTCCATTACTATTTGAGGAATGATTGAGTTTTTTTTCTGCTATAGAATGAAAGCATGTGTGTGTGGAGTCACATTTGGATATCTTGTAATATGAATAAGAAATTATGTTGGTTGTTGTTATGCGGACAAGTCACTGAAGTGAATGTGCGAGGCATGTTAAAAAAGTTCGATGTAGTTTTCATTTATTTCTTCAAAGAAGTTTCTAGACAACCATAACTAAGAACGTATCTAAGTTCGACCGGGAGGAAGTTTTGTGGTGTGTATCCAAAATACATAAAACAGATCAGGACTTCTATATAGGGGCTAAACCATGAATTACTCACTGAGGTTGCAAATCAGAGCTAAGACGTCGAACAGCTCTATGAGCTATGCAGAAACATTTTTATATCCTTCACCACACTGTGGTACAGGGTATTATGTCTTTGTACATATGTTTGTAACAGCAAAAAGAAAGGATGTAGACACATGGTTCCTATTGCGAATATGCATTGAATCACTCTCTGAGTCGATTTATGCATGTCTGTCCGTCCGTCTGTTGGTGTTAAATTGTATACAAAGTATAGGTCGCATTTATGATCCGAATTAGGTGAAATTTGGTACATTTCATTTATTTGGCAAAATGACTGTTGAAATTGGTGAAAATCGGTTCAGATTTGCATATAGCTCCCATATATATTTTCCTCCGATTTTATGTAAATGCTGTGCTAAAGTCCCTATATTTCTTCCGATTTGTACTAAATTTGGCACAGCGTACTGAATTAAGTCTAGAGTGATGTGAGTTTGGTATCGGAAAAATCGGTTCAGATTTAGATATAGCTCCCATATATATTTTCCTCCGATTTTATGTAAATGGTGCATCAAAGCCCCATATATATCTTTCGATTTGCACTTAATTTGGTGCAGCGTACCGAATTAGGTCTAGAATGATGTATGCTTAATTTCGCGAAAATCGGTTGATATTTAGATATAGATCCAATATACATTTTCCTCCGATTTAGTATAAATGGTGCACCAAACTCCCAATTTACCTATCGATTGGCACGAAATTTGGCATAGCGTACTGATTTGAGTACAGAATGATGTGTTTAGAGTTTCGTGAAAATCGGTTCAGATTTAGATAAAGCTCCCATATATATTTTCGTCCGACTGCATGTAAATGGTGCACTAAAGACTGATTGGAACACAATTTTGTATTTAAGTTAATGTAAATTAATCTCTGGCAAGTTCCTTCGAAATCGGTTCAGATTTAGATATAACTCACATATATATATTTTCGTCCGTTAGGTTAATGGTGCATCAAACTCCTAATGTTTGTCCGATTCACACGAAATTTTGCACAACGTATCAAATTGAGACTGCAGGTGCAGACATAGCATCCAAATATAATTCGAACGGGTGTCTGATTGAGATTAAATTTTGAACACTGCGGCATACAGAATCGTGTGTATCAAGTGTGCTATATATCGATTTACATAATTTTTTTTCCATTGTACGCAAACGACTCTAAATCTACCAGAATGAAATTAAATTTGACATAGGTTGCAGAAAGGCGTGTGTATGGATTGATGTTAGTCGTTTCACTTAGAGATAAAGATCATATATTTGAATTCGTTGAAATTTTCCCTCGAAGGATCATTGACATAAATTTTTTTAGTATACATATGTAGAATAAACCCAAAGTTGTGAAGGGTATCCTATAGGCGGCGCAGACCCACTTTTCTACTTTCCTTACTGGTATATATTGAAAATGTTCTGTGAAGGATTCGTTTATCCCACAAGGTCGGTAAGTTACAACTTTCAGTAACTTCGTTTGGAAAGACAATCCACATACCTATAATGCAGCCGAACACCTAAATATTGAACTATATTTTTAATTGTTGGAAGGAAGATCTACCAACCGAAGATCGCTTCAACCAGTGAGCGGAGCAGTATATTCGGACGGGGCCTACCATATGATACCCTACACAACTTCGACGAAAATCTAACTTTCTATGGTTCTGTATTCAGAGCTTGGGCAATATTTCGCGATATTTGCTCCCTCTAGACCGACTAGATGTCAACAAATATTTCTAATGTTCAGTAGACGAGGGCTGTACTTGTCCAGATTCTCTTTACCGTGGGTTATGTTGTGATGTTGACCTTTCAATTGTGACCTGTAGATCGACTTAAAAAAACATACAAAAATTAAATTTTCGGTCCACTTCATTCCAATATTTTTATCTGATCATCAACTAGAATCTCATGGAATACTTCAAAGCGATCAATGCTATATTTCCGCCCTCTAGTGGAGTAATGGGTTACTAAATAATATCTGAGTATGTAAGCACCCGTAAATATTTAAGTGTAACTACCGCATCCGAGTACATAAGACAATATAATTGGTATCAATTTAAAGGTCAACAACTCCTTTTGGATATACTATCAACTTCTCGGCTATATGTCCTTCAGGAGTAAATATATACGCTATAGAATAAAAATTTTATCATTTTCACACAAAAGTTAGGGTCCATTTGACCCGCTAAATATTGGCCGATCTTTATTAATATAGGCATGCTTATTCTTTGGCCCAATCCCCTTCTCAATGTAAAAATTCGAGATGTTTGGGCCATAATTGTGCCCTCTGGACCGACCAGAAAAACAGACAAAAAATAAGTATTTGGTCCATTTCATCCCCTAAATATTAACCGATCTTTACCAAAAACAATAGGGGTCTCCATTGGGCCGAACCCATCCTACATGCACAAATTCGTAAAGATTGGTCCATAACTGTGGCCTGTATTGTGTTTACAAATTATAATGGACAGACGGACGGACACACATGTCTAGATTGACTCAGCTAGTCGAGATATGACGATCGGTATACTTAAAGGTAGGTCTAGGATCAATATTTCGCGACGTTACAAACTCTTGGGGCTGCACAAAGCTATAATACCCTGACAACACAGTTGTGTAGGGTATAAACATCAAATAAAAGTCAATTAAGTTGGAAAATATATTTGAAATCGACAAAATATTGAAAAATTGATTTGGACCATAATGATATCCCAAAATACGAAATCACAGACAAATTTGTTGATGTTGAAGGTAGGAGCAATGTGCAAAATTTCAGACAGATGAACGGATGACCTCCAAATAGCCTAAAACGGATTTGGTTCAAAGATACATGGTGAATAAAACCAAAATTTCACAGAGGCACATTTTTCACGTAGTAAAGTCTATATACCCCTATTATCCATAAGGCTCCGGGTAAAAAAAATCTACTCTTATTTTTTGTCAATACAATATCCATTGCATTTTAATATACGAATTTCCATTATCCAACAACAACATGTTGTTAAAGCGATAATATATTGAAATGTGTTTTGTAATATAAGTTGTTTTTGTTGTTATTGCTGAATGACTGTAATTTAATATAAATATCCGACAGACCATAAATTGAATTGATATTGCATTACTCAGATTTGATTAAATTTGACATGCAGTTGGAGCGTTTAACTATAACCAGCAAGCATTAAATTGTATTTAAAGTGTTTCTGGAACACGTTTTTAACAACAGCCGTAGCAGCTGTAACAGCAGCAGCAACAACAACCACGTGAGCAATAAATACAACTATGAAGTTGAAGTCATGCATGTTGGTTGGTGGGTTTGGGTGTGATGCCTACACAGTGAAAATTACAAAACATGTAAAATGTGACACTATGTATGGAATATTCAAACGTATAGTGGTAATGGAATAAAAAAGACGGAATGTAAACTGAAAACTACACCAACAACCTCTAAGAAAATACTCTAGATAAGAGGGATACTATTAGGGTGGTCAGATACCAACTTGAATTGAAAATTTGAGTTGAAAATGCTGGATTAAACTTGAAAAAATCATATTACAATGAGCGAAGGGAAGTAATAATTTTTCACAAATTTCGACGAGGATAATCACGACAAGAGTGCATCGATGACCAAACGAAACAACCCTTTCAACCGAAAGATTTGTAACTTGGCAATTCAAGTTCGTGGAAGGTGATCACCACACTGTGGTACAGGGTATTATGTCTTTGTGCATATGTTTGTAACAGGCAAAAGTAAACGAGATAGACACATAGTTCCTTTTGAGAATATGCATAGAATCACTTTCTGAGTAGATTTATGCATGTCCGTCTGTCCGTCCGTCCATTTTAAATTGTAAACAAAGTACAGGTCGCATTTATGATCCGAATTGGATGAAATTTGGCATAGGTCACTTATTTGTCCCAAGGACGAACCCTATTGAAATTGAGAAAAATCGGTTCAGATTTAGATATAGCTCCCATATATATTTTCGTCCGATTTAAGGTAAATGGTGCACTTAAGTCCCTATATATCTTTCGATTGGCACGAAAATGCGCACAGCGTACTGAATTAGGTCTAGAATGATGTGTGTTAAATTTCCAGAAAATCGGTCCAGATTTAGATATAGCTCCCATGTATATTTTCGTCCGATTTTATGTAAATGGTGCACCATACTGCCAATATTAGTCCGATTTAGACAAATTTTGCACAGAGTATTGAATTCGGTCTAGATTTATATATGTCAAGTTTTGTTGAAATCGGATCAGATTTAGATATAGCTCCCATATATAGTTTCGTCCGATTTTATGTAAACAGAGCACCATACTGCCAATATTGGTCTGATTGAGACAACATTTTGCACAGAGAACTGAATTAGA